TACCTATTAATCATATAGCTGCCTAATTAATCCCATATTAACAAGACCTGTCCAATTAAGAAAATAATTGGACAGTTACCTATATGGGATTAATGAGAAGCTGTATAATAATAATAATGATAATAATAATAATAATAATAATAATTTAATAGTTTCTATAACGCGGTTTTCCATAGCAAAATGATCAAATGCGCTTTACAATCGTAAGTGTTAATAAAAAGCGAAAAAAGAAATATAGATATCTACAATTATGATAACTCTATTGACATATATGTAGTATGTAAACGAACTGTAAATTGTATAAAAACATGGAATCTGAGAAACTAGATTATAAAACAAACTATCTAAAAAGTGATAAATTAACAATACATGGCTATTGGTAACAATTATTTTATTTTTATTTTTCATTTTATTTAACTTAGTAATATTAATAATAATAGATCATATTTTATATAGCGCTAATTCCTTTAGTTCAACAGCGCTTTACAAACATTTAAGACTCAAAAATGTTTTAAAATTTAACGCTATCCTAATACATAGAATACATAAATATTCTGAAAAAACATGATTTTAAAAACATTGCAAAATTTTTATTTATTTATTTAAAACACTGATATAAACTTATAGCAACTCTTAGGCTATCAATAGCTAGTGGGTTAAAGAAAAGAGACTACAAAATGTATCGCTGAATAATAAGAGATAAAATAAGAGAGGCTAGGAATTTACTACAGTTTTCCCCTAATTGCAATAGATCCTATCAACTAAACGGCAYGAATAAATGATTTAAAATAATGTGTCTTGAGTGTCGTTCGTTCATTTGTTTGTTTGTTTTCATTATTACTTTTTCACACATTGTACTCCTAACTGCTTAGCGAGGCTGTACCAATACCCTCATTCAATAAGAGTTTCAATATGACCTTATGGGACATGCTTTAGAAGAGAAAACAAAACGTAGTTGCCGTTGTTGTCATCGTTGTCGTTGTTGCTGTATCATTGTCACGCTCACACATTCCACCTATTTAAGTCATATGCTATACTGAATGTGTTTTATCTTGTTCTTTTAGTCAGGTGTAAGTGTTCGCGTGGTGAATCAACTCCTTACTGAAATGGACGGATTAGAAGCCAGAAAACAAGTCTTTATCATGGCTGCCACAAACAGACCAGGTGAGAGAATATTACCCTTCCAACCCCGTATCCCCTCTTCCTTGCACCCCTACCCCACCCCACACCTATCCCTCATATATTATATGACACATATTGTACCTCGCATAAAGCCTTAAGTGCACTTTCTTTACCCTTCCAACCTCGTACCCGCTGTTTCCTGCTCTCCTACCCCACCCCACACCCATCCCTCACCATGTTGTATATATGTATATATGTATATATTGTACCTCTCCTAAGGCCTTGAGTGCACTCTCTTTGCAGTTCCACTCATCCTTTCATGCTCTGTGTCTCGGCTATTTGTTCCAAATTCCATTAACATGACGTCAGCTTCCTGCGCAACGTTGCAAAGACCGTCGTTGCGAATCATTGGAAAACGCGATCGCTATGAGACTCACTGATGGAAACGTGACTTAGTCTGTATGACATTCTTGCGATCTTTGCGTGAAGTTTTTTTTTAACTAAGCTTGGGCCTCGCCGTAAGCATCGTGTGCAATGTTCAATGTTTTCTTTTTACTCAATTATTCATTTACTTATTCATGCATTCACTCACGAAATTATTTCTTTAATTTATTTTAGAATTTGCAAGAAAAGTAACAAAGATATTGCTACCTTTTATCGACTCGTTTTTTTTTTTGTTTTTTTTGTTGTTGTTGTTGTTGTTGTTGTTTTTGCTTTAAAAAATTATAAGTTTACTGTCTTTTCAAATACCGAGAATACCGATAATAATTCCCTTCACAGCTACCTCTGCCATTTTGAAAGGTAGCCGTATCTTCGCATGTAAGCGAGACGAACGTTAAGCTTGCAGTGATAGAGACGTGATGATTGTCCAAAGTGTTAAAAAAAGGTCTCTAACGTTCTAAGCCCACCGTTCGTCTCGCTTCGATGCAAAGGCACGGCTGCTTTTCAACGTGGCGCAGGGAACTGTGAAGGGGTCTACTGTAGCTAGGAAATTAAAAAATGATGTTCATAAGTACTGACAATTGATCAATCAGTTGTTATAAAGCTATTCATGTTGACTGACTGACTCATTGACTGTAAATCACTGGCGCAATCAATTACGATCACTGACGCACAATCAGTGACGATCACTGACGCATTTAGTTACGCATACATGCGACTCTGTGAACTCATTCGTTTCTGCTGACTCAAAACCATCTCGAACTCTCCTGTTCTAGAAAAAATACAATTGATGAGAGTGTTAAAAGTAAATCGCAAAATGAGAATGCTTTTCACATTGATTCGGTTGGATAAAAGTGTACACATTCCCAGAATGAATGACATGCTTAACTAGAAACAAATAAATGTACTAACTCTCTTCTTCACTATCCATTCATTTATTCGCGCGTGTATTTTATCTTGTTCATTCCTTTTATTCTAGTTTTTCGCTATATTCTTTTTTTTTTTTTCTTCCGTCGTTTGTATATTTAAAAATGTTATAATTTATGTGAAACAATTTGCTTCGTCTTAAAATAAAGACAATTTTGAGATCTAAAAAAATATATTAATGACTAATGGATAATATTAATGCTATTAATAACAGATATTATTGATCCCGCTGTCATGAGACCCGGCCGCTTGGATAAAGTGTTGTATGTTGGGTTACCAAGCAGTGAAGACAGGAAAGACATTTTGATGACCATCACCAAGGTAACGATGTTATGAGACGTCAGTCAAAGATAAACGACTTCAGTTTCCAAAACGAATATCAGTTTAGTAGAAAGATTTTTCTTGCATTTTCTTCATGTCAGAATTTGTTGTTCAAAGTTACGTCTGTCTGCTACGTCAAGTTTAGATAAACGACTTCAGGTTTCAAAACGAAAAATTTAGAATCAAAATCACTGTTTGTGTGAGCAGCGCCGCTACTCRGGTGAGAAAGCGTTGCGTGACGACACTGAAAGGTCTAGTAGCACTTAGACGATATCGTGATAAAATTTATTTTTGTTGTTTTGCAGGGAGGTACCAAGCCAGTTCTGTTACCAGAGGTGGATATTGAGAAGATTGGTTTCAGTGAACGATGCAATGGATATTCGTAAGTACAGATTTCTCTTCGTCAAAGTAGTAATTTGTTCGGGTTTTTGCTCTAGGGTATTAATTCGGTTGCTTGTGCCGGGCACTGACTGGAAGTTGCCTAGGGTAACCTCCATGACTAATTTTTTAAGCGACTTGAAGTTGTGAAAGGCCCATTGGTCCTCTTCTTCAGTCGTTTCATTCAAGGCTCGTAATTTACCTATGACGCATGTTCTTATATAATTTCCGAGCCCATCCCACACGGCTTACCGCCTCATCTCTCATGACTCTTAATCCCATCAAAATAGTTTTTGAATACTTGGTAAATCTTTAACGACAAATTGAAATTTCAATAGATTCTTTGTACGCGTTACTAAAATATTTGAAATAATACACAGTGACAACAGGGCGTTGAGAAAGGTTGCCTAGTTTGGGCTCATTCAGTTTTCCTGCGCATTTCTCGTCTTCTCGCAACCTCCGATGTGATTGAATTAGATTATCCAATGCAGAAAAAAGTTCTGTAATTCTTCAAAATGCAAAATACAATGTGTCAGAGAGAGGAGAGCACGAGGCAGCCTTCGCATACGCAATAACACACCCACTCTTCCAGGAGGGTCCAGAAGGGGTAACATGGGAGCTGGGATTCGCCTTCTCTGGGCTGGGAAAATGGGAGTTTATGCACTGGGAATGGGATTCTCAAACAAAAGGACAAAAAACATAGCCTTTGGGACTATGGGATTTGGTCACAATGGGGGCTGGTAAAAGGAATTAGCCCCCCTCCCCCCCTCCCCTTCTGGACCATTTTTCCGGCATATTTTTCCATCTCACCCTTCCCATTTATGATTGCAGTGGAGCTGATTTAGCTGCGCTTGTACGAGAAGCATCAATGGCTGCTCTACGTGAATGCATTAGCATATCCTCGTTACATGACAAGCAGACGAACGGCCCTGCCACGCGTGTTGATCTTGATGGGATTGGAGTAGGAAACAGACATTTCGACATTGCGTTCGACAAGGTTAAGCCATCAGTATCAAACAAGGTATGTGACAATCAGAATATTGACTCAAGTGGATAGTGGCTGTAATAGTCTAATTAACGATTAGAGCCGAAGCTCGAATGGTCGGCAAGTCGTTAATTCTAATCTCCGGGTCGAAAAAATGGATACAATTTTYTTTTAATTAGGTTGAAAACTGCCATTGATTTGGTTTTCAAAACCGACTCTTTTCGCTAATAGAGGTCTAACACTAATACACTATTAGTAGCTCAGCCAATCAGAGCGCAGGATTTGTGATAGACTATCAGTATAAGTTTAGACTAATAGTCTAAATCTACAGTTTGCATTTGATAATGACCTGATTAATAGTCATCAGCAAGTTTATTGACGCCGCGCTAGTACTTGGTTCAACAAAGCCTAGTTCTTTATAGAGGCCTTAATTGCACCAACATGTGATGGAAGCCATGACAGGAGGCACAACAATAGTCGTTTTTTCCCTGGGAAACTGAATTCTTTCTTGGGCAAAGCAGATTAGACCAGATTCAATAGATTCTGCCTCCTGTCATGGCTGCCATCACGTGATGGTGCAAAGCCTCTATAGGAGCTGAACGTAATCGCTTTTAGTGAATATTCACTTGTTCGCATCCCTAACATGGTTAATTATGCACCACATTTCTATCATAACGAGTGCGTTGAAAAAAGCTGGTTTTTTTTTGCCGGAGGGTGGGCTTGGACTTATTGGAAGGCAGAAGGGGGAGAAGCAAGCGAGATATCCCATGTTCCATCCACTTAAAGGGTGGTTCGTTGGCCTTGGACGAAAAATGAATCTGGTTACTTGGCATCATTGGACGGTAATCTCATTTCACTCATCGAAAAAAGTTGTTCCTTTGGAATAAAGCCTTTAAGGGCGCCCTAGCGCATTAGATGTTTCGAAAAAGGAGTTGCCGGATGACCCGATCAAATCAACCACAATTGAAGAAATAAGGCTTGGTGCCAATCGAGTCTATTAAAAAATACCCAAGCTGAAGCCACAGAGATTCCACTATTTAGATACTCAGCATAGCAGCACGTGCGAAACTAAACCATAGGTATCCCGATCCGTTTATATTTGCCGCTTCTTACGTAATGGTTGTTATGCGTATGATCCAAAGTCTATGAGCTTCATAGTCGCTAATAAATAGAGTGCATTCAGTCAAACTGTTGAATAGTTTGATAAATATATCTAACTTAGATAATTATTGAGTTGACGTCACCTAAAATAGTAAAAGCGCGCCAAATAACGGTCATGCTAATCCGGACGGTTGTTTTACCAGAGAATGAGTGAATAGACATTCATTTGTATCATCGTTTCTCCCCCTGATCTCAGTAGCTGTTTACTCGTACATGTAGTTTCAGGTCAGGTACATGTGTGAGGTCAGCTAAAATAGTAACTAACTTATCTAATTTAGGTGACGTCAACTATTCAACAGTTTGACTGAATGCAYTCTAGTGAAGTAAATATGACAAATGTTGCGGGTCCTTGCGATAGATAGAACGACTTTCTTAATAGACCACCAGAACGAGGAAGGGAGACAAAAACAAGTAAAATGACGGTCTGAGTGGTTGTTTTTGCTCGATAGTGGCCATGACCATGGCGCGCTGCCAGTGAAAGATCAACGTTCTTAATAGACCACCAGAACGAGGAAGAAAAACAAAAACAAGTAAAATGACGGTCTGAGTGGTTGTTTTTGCTCGATAGTGGCCATGACCATGGCGCGCTGCCAGTGAAAGACAAAGAAGCGGGCTCGCAGACTGACAAAATATGCTACTGCGTACTGACAGATTGTTGATAACCTCGAAATTATTTTCCGCATTTTTGGATGATGTATCTAAGACATTAGAAATATTTATTTTAAAAAATACCCCCAAAAAGTGAAAAAGRATTTTACTTGGCCTGCTGAACATAATTCGGATATTTTTACTAAAAAAGGGAATTGTTTGCAAAATAAAGAACAATGAAAGAAAAATGCTACGTGATACATTGTACCATGTTTTGAACATGTTATGACCATGGTTTGGCCCCTTTTCAAAAATTCAACCTTTAGGGTCTACAGTAGAATAATATGTTAGAATTCTACATTGATGGGTATTTATTCAAAATTCTTTAACATGCATTTTTTTGTCTTGATAACTCTCTCTATCAGTCTATTGAATCATTTTAATTTTGAAATATCATATATTGATTCAAGATGTTTTTCTTTAGGACCACGTCGCATATCACCAAATCAAGACGTCTGCGGCCAAACTTTGACCAGACCAAAACAACGTATCATCTTGAATAAAAGCCACAGGAAGAAAAAAAGGAATACTTTATAAATTCACARAAGCATAATTTATCAGTAAAAAGAAAAAGAGAAAGAAACACTTGTATATTGAATATGTTTTTACTCAGAGACAACTGAGACAAAACGTTTTGAATTGGAAAGAAATCGTATTACTTCCCTGCTAGCATAGTCTCCCTCGTTGGCGATTCTTGGCAGAGAAAAATACAACAGAAAAATAACTGATATTCAAATAAAGCGTCTCTTCTCTAGCCTTTTGCTTTCATTATTTATTGTTATCATTCCGGTCACGTTTAATGACGACTGAAGAACATTAGAATATTGGAGGCTAACCTTTGAGTCATTGGCATTAAACTCCAATTTATTTCCCTTCTGCTTTCCTTTACTTCCTTGCATTTCCTTTCCTTTCTTTCAGCATTCTTTCTTTTTCATGTTTCATCGTTTCCCTCCACCTTTTTAGAGAAAATACAATTTTTTTTTWAAATAACGATTTTTATACCCTGGTCCCAGAGGCTCGACGATTTTTCTCCCGGCCACGTATATTTTGAGAAAAATCGTCGAGCCTCTGGGACCAGGGTACGATTTTTACGGCCAGCCATTTCTTCTTTCGAATGATTGATTCAAATTTGATGATAAAAGCCGCAAGTTATTTTGACTACGTGAGTGCATTCATGGGTCAGAGGTTCTTTTTTGCTTCCTGCATTTACACTCAAGACAGAAAAACAAGATTCTTCCATTTTTACTGTATTGTATTTTTAATCAACCAGAACATTCATTAAATGTTCTCTTGTATATTTGTCTTTTGTGTAATGAACGTTCTGGTTGTGTGATAACAACTATTAGTCACTATTTGTTTTCATGGTTTAAGAATCACGTTCAAGAGCTCTTTGTTATTCATAGCTGTGTAAACCAGTGTCCATGTCTGAAAAATGCGCCAAAGAGTATGCGTATGACAGCACCGAAAAACAAAAGATCCTTCCATTTTTATCATATTTTTAATCTAAATATAAACTTAGTGGAACAGACTTAATCCAGGGAGATTATTTTTTGCATGTAAATGTAGCTGCTTGCTATATCATGCGCATAATCATTAACGAATTTTTCATGCAGCCTTATTTTCAAGTCGAGGGAGGGACCTATATGCATTGCCTGATTTTAGTCCAAGAAAAGTAAACTAAGTAATAATGATGGTTTGGCATTGAACTCTAAAAGAGTGCTGGTTGTGAATACCATTAGCGCAAAAAAGGACTGACGTATTACAATCGTCCTGTGATTCTGAACTCGGAACAAATTCTGATTTATATATTTTTCTAGAATTCCCTCCAGAATTTTTCCTTAAGAGTGAAATTTTCGTGGACATTAATTCGCTCTGGTTAATTATTCTACGAGCACGAAAATTACAGCCGAATAAATAAAGGTTCCAGTAAAAAAAGAAACGAATATTGACAATTCGCAAGCCCCACGTAAATGAAAATGTGGGCTTGTGATTGGTTGATTTATGAACACGCCTCCAAAAGAATGAATGATCTAAAAGCCACGCACCTTCATTCAAGATCAAAATTACACATGGAATGGTTCGCACGTAATTTGGGCAAAACAACTCCCCTTTAGCTTTTTTCACGAACGAAGATCAGAGGGAGACAGAGTATAAACTTTGTTCCTTGGCTCTTCGAGGAATTTTCTACCCGACTACAAGCTTTTCATGGTTGCTTTTGATTTTTTCGCGGGATGCCTTGGAGGTAAGAGAGACAGATCGGCGAAAAAGAGTTACAAATCTACGCCAAACATCATGTAGTTAATATTGTTGTTGTTTTTCTTTCGATTGTTTTACCACAACTGAATCTTGATTATATGTGCTTATATTTTCAACAGGATTAGCTGGAGTTGTAGTTGGGCATCCTTTCGACACAGTAAAAGTAAGTTTGGCAGTTATATTTGCACCTTTCTTTATTACGTTGACGATAAACTCGTTCAAGTAAGCTAAAAGCTCTAAAAACCTCCTTATTTTTCCTGTATGGAGATCCACGTTTCACTTGTACTTTTCATTATTTCTATAAATTCGTAGAAGGTCAATAATTAGTAAATAGTTTTTGGCAACCAACGGTAATAGTAATCCTAATTTCTTTGTCTTTAAATTGCGTAATAAATCCCTAAACTGATAGTAGACCAATGTCTACTGGTATGAATATATGGCCAATCATGCATGCAGCTCTCGTATTTTTGGATAAAAAATTCTTTATATTGGCCCGGGTCGCACTGGACAAAGTTTGGTAAAATTTGGTGTCTTAATCCGACAAAACCTGTCATCACAAGTCCATTTCTAGTGCCACCGTCCTCCAAAACTTTGCCAACTGATCAAAATATCAAAGGCGCCGTCGAACATTGTAGAAACTGGACTTTTTGGTCAAAATTTCTCCAAACAAGAGAAATCACAGAGCGAACTATCATCGCTTGTCATCTGACAGAAAAACAGAACCCTGATTTCTGATCAACTAGAGCGGAATTCAATAGAACGTTAAACTCTTTCGAAAATAATCTTGAGGGATATTTGGATCGTTACAGTGCATTTCAAACCATGAATTTATTGGACGAGGAGCTCTCCAGGCGTATGTAATTGTAGCGGTGTAATCTTCGACGAACAAGTATTCTCCTTCGCATATAATGAGACAAAATTGTAAAACAAATTGCTTGTTGAAGTTGAATTTGAAGATAAAAAAGGTAGAAAAGGCTTATAGTTATCGCGTTATAGTTATTGGGAGTTTGTTTATAAATTTGGCGATCAAATTTTTGTTTTGGCTTAGTAAGTGCGACCCGGGCCTTAATAGACAATTTATCTTCTCAGCGAGGTCTTTTTGTTTCCTGCTGGGAAAAGTTTCATTTTTATTTCGTTTCTTTTCCTTGTGTAGGTTCGCCTTCAGACACAGGCTACTCGACACTACACAGGGGTGACCAACTGCTTCATTCAGATCGTCAAGAAAGAAGGAGTAAGCAATCATAATTTTTAACCGTTATCTTTATGTCAAACGTGATTTCTGATACGTGTTGTCGCGAGGATAAGTTTGTAGAAGTTTCTTTGAGAAACAAAGGAATTTTTAATTCAATCACGGTCATTGGTGATAAATGACGTGAAGGTTGTCAGTTAACATATTAATATAAAGCATTATATTTAGATAAGATGTGAAACTCTGTAAGTCTTTTAGAAAAACTAAATGTATACTTTAATATTTGAGAGAACAGGGCCATTATATATTTTGCTCCACTCCAGATAAGATGTATGGATATTGAATTGATTCCAAGAACAGWTTACATGAATGGCATTATAAATTCAATCATTATCATATTAGAGTGTTCTGGAGTTTGCTAGATTGGCATGGTACACAGGTTAAGTGCCTGACAGATAGGTTTAATATCCATACAATCCTTGTATTTGGCTATCACCCAGTGTGCATAATGTTTCACGTAGCTGTCAATAGAAATATTGCAGTTGGGTCCTATCCTATAGTCTATTATAAAGCATTTTGTTTCATGTTCTAAAAACATGGGCTACGCCTCGCGAGACTCTTCTTAACGCTTGTTAGTCATTCTTTATATTTTCTCTCATGCGTCTATAACGCCATGGGTGCATGACTTTCTCTTGTCTATTTGATAATTATATTGGAGATATATACCTCAAAATATAATATAAATTGTTTTATATATTTTAGTTAACTAAAGTTCATAATGTTTGACACATTTGATACATCATTTCATTGTAAAAGTCACTGGCTCTGTCCAAGGGAGCACTGCAGATTGAATCTTTCTGTAGTTTAGTTTACATATTCATCATATCACTGCTGAGTGAGTCCCAAAGGGAAAAGAAATGCTGTCAGCGTATAATCGGATAATCATAAACGCCAGATTTCAAGATGGCATTTGAAAAGCAGATTAATTAATATAAAAAGTACAAATATATAGTCTGCTTTGTTCCTTTGCTCTGTCTCTATGTTTGAACTGTTGAATATAGAGGGGGTGTGAGATCTTTGAAATTGTAATAGATACTTTATTAATGCGTAGTTCCAGAAATTATCCAAACCCCCCCTCCTCCACTACCCACAGAAATTAAATTTTCTTCCATTAAAATTAATAGTAATAATAATGGGGTTCTTCTATAGAGCATTTCACGATGTCTCAATGCGCTTTACATTGCAGTGGAGGACTTTACAGGCTGCATATTAAGGTGCTATTAGCAGCTGTGCAGCTTAAATCATGAGTGATTAGTGTACATTAGTGTTATGCCTCCAAATTGGGATAGGCTGTTGGAATGGGAGACAATCCCCTACTCTTATACGAATAATTCAACAGGTTCTTTTATGWCCCCCATTTACTGTTGGTTAGGAAAGGTTGGGAGACAGGGCCTATGGTTTTAAGTCCTTGTCCGAGAAGACTTGAAGGTTTAACCATTTGCAGATGTAATTACAAAGGCAGCACCTTCTCCTCAGTTATTTTAAGACCTGAATGTTGGTCCGGCTGAGGCTTGAACCACGACCTCCCGCACAACTGACCAATGCTCTTACAAACTGAGCTAACCAGGTGGCGGTTAAGAACTCTGTGGTGGGGGAGGGGGTATTGATAATTATTTCTGGAAGTACACTGGAACTATTAAAATTGAAAAGGAGGTCTTGATCCCCTAATATGAGACAACTGGCGCCAGTGATAGAAATTAAAAAAACATATTGAGACCTCATTGGAAAACAAGACCTTGACATGTGAGGGGATCAGGGGTAGATATCTTTACTTTTCCTTCAGGGGTACCCCTGGGACATTGAAAAAGGGGGGCTTGAAGCACTAAACTGGAAATCCTACTCAGTTGTATCATTTATTTCTCACTTTGTCCGCTTATGTATTCTGAATTATATCATCAGATTACATCACAGCCCTATTATATAATTCTCAGTTTAAGTTTACACTTTAATTTGTTTGGGTAAAATGCAAAATCTGCACCCCTGGATGCTTGCCCTGTGAAAGACTGCCTGCCATTTATCAACTGTTTGTTGAACAAAGAGATTTCATTGTTCTGTCATATACCCACAGGCAGCCCAAGCTGTATTATGGGCATGTGATGGCACAAAACCTCTATAAAAGTATGTAGTGAATGTAATATAATATTGTTCTTCTCGTTTTTTCAGCCTCTGGGACTGTTCAAAGGAATGGCCTCCCCTCTGGCTGGCCTAGGTCTTATAAATGCTATTATTTTTGGTGTCCAAGGTGAAGCTATCCGAAGATTTAACTTGAGTGGATTAAAGGGTGAATGTATAGCTGGTGGCTTGGCTGGAGCTGTGCAATCATTTGTTTGTTGTCCTATGGAACTAGCAAAGACAAGAGTTCAAGTGCAGGGCATCAGAACTAAGTGCAATCACATATTTTTTCATACACTTCAAGAAAAGAGTGTTTTACAATACCATGGATCTCTTCATTGCATTAAAAAAGTTTATCAATCAGAAGGACTTCGTGGATGCTTTAGAGGAATGAGTGTCACTTTACTCAGAGACGCCCCAGCATTTACATCATATTTTGGATCTTTTTACTTATTGTGTCATTGGTTAACTCCTGAGGGAAGTTCTGTAAATGAGCTGAGTCCAATGAGACTGTTAATGGCTGGTGGACTAGGGGGAACCTTCTCATGGATTTTTACTTATCCAATTGACGTTATAAAATCAAGGTATCAGGCTGATGGGGTTGGACCAAAACCAAATTACAACGGTATTCTAGACTGTGTTAAGAAAACTTATGCTAATGAAGGAATAGCAGGATTTATGAGAGGAATGACTGCTACTATTCTTAGAGCTTTTCCTGTTAATGCAGCAACTCTGACAGTTGTGACTATTACATTACGATTTGCAAGGGATCTGCATGATCAGCCACGACTTGAAGCTGCTTAATTGAGCTGCTGAAGATTGCTTTAAAGAAGGCAAGTCTGGATGATGTACCTGGTTTGTGCATAAAATGAGAATAAAATATATAAGAATGGTCAATTTGGGCTGACAATGTCTACAATCGTATCTCATGGTCTTTCAATGACATTTCAATGGAATCGAATCAAAGTAGTAGCTGTAAGCGATAACATATTTTATTGCATGGTAAAAATTAAATTAACAATATCCTTTTAAACTAATGTCAAAGTTCCATTAGTAATGTTATTTATTGCTTCTTATTTTTATATATATATTGGTGAGTAGTAGTATATACACATAGTTATTAATATGTGGTTACTAATATGTTGTTTGTAGGCAAGATGGAGATAATTTCTTAGTAAAATATTATAGGTGAATATATATAGTGTAGTTCCAGAAATGGAGTCTGAGACATATTTATGTAATATTTCAAACACGCAAGAGAATTTTTCCTCTGATTTCCAAACGCTGAAAAGCCGAGGTGACTTTGAGGTGTATGGAAATCGGAGAAAGAACTCTCTCAAATTGCTTCAAATTACTTCTCAAACTCATGAATATTTCTTGGAGAAAATCAAAGAAAAAATTTACGAAATTTAATGCAAATTAAGAACACATTTCCAAACCACCGTCACAGTAGTGATTTGCTTTGTTTTCTCCTCATTAAATATTCTTGAGTTTTAGAACTTTATTTCATATTATAGATATATATATTTTTTGTAGACTACGAATATAAGGAAAGAAATTAAAAGAAATGATGCAAGCGTTTTCTGCACTTTTATGAAGATGTAAATATTTTCCAACTTTCAAGAGAAAAAACTATATTGTTAGATATCATTGAACAAACAGGTGGACTATTACAAAAATCCATAATTATTCTGATTTGGCTAGACCTATGCTAAAGTACTATAGGTCTATTCTTGTTAGCCCATGAAGTAGCTATATCCAGGTTTTAAAATAGCAGCTAGTCAGTCAAGATGATATGAACAGCCAACTTAGCTTTAGCTATTAATATAGTATATATATAGTGATATATTGTTTCTCTGGCTCATGGTTGCAAGTCAAATGAGCTGTGAGGCAACTTTGATTTGAACTGATGACAAGTTCTGATTTTGGCTTTGCATTGTCCGATAACTGGCCGTTAATGGTATATTAGGCCCTGTAGTAGAGAGTATTGTTAGCTATTAATTTTTCCAAAGTTTTTGAAGACTGTCATTTATYATATAGTAGGTAGAATAATTAGTAAGGAAATGGCATGATCTCGAGTACCATGTGGAATTTATAGATACGAGAGAGTGATGTTTTGAAAGTTTTCAAAAAATTGGACAAGCCAGGCTTTAGATGAGTTAAATTTGAGAACTTTCCAAACATCACGAGTATCTATAAATTCCAAATTGTACAAGAAGATTGTGTGATCTTTTGTTTATAATACACTCAACAAAATTGAGCAACTTAATTGGGACTCTACAGAGTACAATTTGGAATTTAATTGTACTCCACTTGCGCAATCAAAATGAAGTAATTTTGTAGAGTGTATCAAGAATTAAGAACTCTGCTGCTGACAATCCAAACATTATAAAATTGGGTCTTATTACTACGGATCTCACCAAACTGTGGCGACACGCCAAAAATTTGTCTCGCTACCACACCCTAATTCGTCTACTGACACGCCTACTTTTGTTACATGTATTACGGTGAATACCTTACTGGCAATGTGCTAGATCCGAGACAGTGACAAAAGTAGGTGTGTTAGTGGACCAAATTAGCAAGACAAATTTTCGATGTGTCGTTACAGTTCGGTGAGATCCATACTATGTACATGATATTATAGGAAATAACAATATTACCATAATTAATCATACTAAGCAAAGATATAAGCAGGACCACTTGGAGAAAATTAACCAATCACAACATAGAGTGAAAACAAAGGAACTAAACTTAAGTCAAACTTGAACCAATCAGGAGCAGGCAATCAAGCCTAGATCTGATTATATATCTGAGAAAAAACTTGGATATTATCAAGGATAGTAGGAATGAAAGGGATGGGACGTGGGATGTGGGCAGTATGATACACATTTTGCTCTCTCCTAAATGGCTAAAGTCTTTTTTAAAAATTTTGTTCAAGTGGTCCTGGTTAGTGTAATTATAACAAATTTTAAAAATAATTATAATATGATCACACTTGTATATACATAATCAATATGTTCATTGGTTTAAAACTAAGCAGCTTCAAAAAGCTTAATAAAATACTGGTATTGACTATGACGCAGTTAATGGTTATYGATATGCTTCATATTCTTATATTTATATATTTATATTAATTATATCTTATATATCTATAATTTTTACCCCTAAGAGATACGACGAGCATCCCTGGCAAGAATATGTGGACCGCGTAGCACTTTCTATATCTTCAAGCATCCCTGGTACTTTTTTCCCGGAGTCCCCCCCCCAGGGTATCATCGAGCTTTGCATGGTGCCATTTGGTGTTTGTGTTCCCAAACCTACAATGTTTGGTGAAATGATATTATTACTTTTCGTGTTGTGGTGTCTTTTCAGACCTTTGTCAGAATAATTGAGCTTTAATTTTCGTGTTTTTTGTGTGGTGATTGGTGATGTGATGTATTCAAGTTTTTGTATTGTGGTATTATGGCATTGAGAACCCCCCAATATGTTACCGTGTTTTAGTTTTGCTATTCACAACAATTGTAAATTATACTTGAGAGACTAACACAGGTGAATCAAATGATAAAAATGCCATGTACATCACTACAGATTACGGTATGCAAGACGGTCAATAGCAATGCTTCCGTTTAATCCTGAGTTACAATCATATTACATACTGCGCTTCAACTAAATCAATAAGCCCCCCCCTCAAAGCCCCCTCTCTCCAATAAGTCCTCCCTCAAACGCGCCTGAAATAAATAAGCCCCCTGGGGGCTAAATAGAGGATTTACGGTATCCCAATTCATGGGATTCCTGTGGTCGTTAGATACCAGTCCCTCTGACCGGGAGCAGAAGCTCATCTCTCCAGTTTCCGCCATATTTATAGTTTTACTTCAAAATGGTTGAAGAAATACCAAAACCAATAGAWACTGACCTGCAATTTAAAGAGGAAGAGTCAGTAGAGGAGGTGAGGTTGTCATTGTTTGGATCTTACGAGTGTTTTGGTTGGATATTGAAGTGTAAAATAACAATGTCGTTTGCTTGTTTTTGCTTTGTCTATTACATCGTAAATGTCATTAACCAAGATTTTTTTTTTTACCTAATTGATTCTAGTCTCAAAGTACAGAAGACAGAACAGAATGCAAAGAACAAATAGATAATTGCGAAGAAAAAGGACTAAGTTTATYAGCTGGGAAAGCTGGGGAGATTGTCCAAGGGAAAAAAAGGAATAAGAAAAGAACAAATCATGATGAAGAACAAGGAATATTATTGAGAAGGGAAAGAGATCGTTTAAGGCAGAGGCAAGCGAGGAAAAATGAAGACGAAGAAAAGAGAAAAGTAAGGCTGGAAAAAGACAGAATAAGAAAACGAAGCTCTAGACAAAATGAAGATGAATTCGAAAGATTAAAACGACGGGACAAAGACAGAGAAAGAAGAGCAAGAAAACGAGAAATGGAAAGAAGTCAACGGGAGGGATATAATAAGAAAGGTGAAAATGGAGAAAACGTCAAAAATGAAAAGATTACAACGAATATAGGTAGTTGTAATAGAGAAGAAAATCAAAAGACTGTAAATATGAAAACAGATGAAAACACAATGGAAACAGTTGAAAATAATTCTAATGATGTCAAAGGACAGGATAGCCCTTCATCAGAGGATAAGACAGAAACTTAGATCAAGTACAATAATTTATTAGAAAAACGATTAGAAATGGAGCATGGGTAGTCTGTACTGAAAATGTGGTCAAGGGTGCCAGCTCTTTGGATGAATACAATAGAACGAGAAAAAATATATACAAAACAATAGAATGAGTCAACAATGAAAACCATTTGTTTTGGCCAATCTTGACAGCTTTTCTTGAAAGAAGATGTGCTGACAGACTCACTACTGTCGTCATGGGTTTCGTACTTCAACTTCCTATTACAAAGTGAGTAGAGTTGTTTCTTAACTCTCTCCATTAAATTCCTTGGACAGGGTGGCACAGGGAGTTATGTGTGGTGCATGATTTTGACTAAAATAAGTATGTGATACTTTAAAATAGCAAAATGTAAAAGCATGATTCAAAAAGTTTGTGTTTTCCTTTAATACAGTTTAATCGTGGAGCACAAATTTTAGCAATATTGATGCCAGTGTGAAACAGGATGGTGACTGCCCCTGTGCCGCCCTGCTTTATGTGATTCCTGTCAGTCCAGGAATGCCTTCCAAAATCGTACTGGAAGCTATTATGTATGACAATCTATAAAATATTTGAGATATAACATGCATGCTTGGTTGGCTAGTGTTCTTATCAGAGGACAGACACACTTGTGCAAAATCTTTCACAAATATTTTATAAAAGTAATATCAAATGGCTGCTTATTATGGCTCTGTATTATGATATAAATGCTCTGGGTTTGTAGAGTATTCAGCAAGCAAAAGAAACACTCAACTATGCCTAATATTCCTAGACTTGCTTCTCTCATGCTCTCTCTCGTGTCTCCCATCACAATACAGGAGACATGCAAAAACATTTTATATTCCTTAAACATAGAACAAAATGAGATTTTTCTTTATTTTGTTTTTAATCCAACAACTCCAGATGCAATTTTTTTACGTTAACTGTGTAGTTTTGGCCTATTGCCAGRATTGGGAAGAGCATTTGCAGCTTCATGGTCAAGATAATGTTTAAAAGAGGGAGAGAGGGGGGTTTGTTTGCACCTTCAGTCTATCCCTGGAGACACACCTGCTGTTGTCTGCACTGAGTATAAAAGAATTGCCCTAAACTGTTGAAGGTAAAGAAAAAAATAATCATCCCGTTGGCATATCCATATATACATCATCTCTTATTTAAAAAGTGATAAAAAGTCAGTACTAGCTAGCTGAAAAAGACAATAGCTTACAAAGCAGGTGAAGTTGGTTAATGTAACCACCTATATAAAAACAAATTATTATTTGTCTTAATTCTATGTAATCATACATAATTTTTAAAATTATAACTAAATTTTAGTTTGATATATTTTTAATTTTAATGTTAATGTCATAAGAAAGATTATGAACTGACTTAAAAAAAACAGAATAAAAATATTTACTGATAAAATAATTATTGAGTGAAGTACATTTTTCATACCCACCCCTCCCCCAAAATAATTCATGACAGTTTAAATTTTACTACTTTCAAGATACTATCCTAAAATTTCACTAATTTCTTTCGATTACGAAGCCAAGTAAAAGTTTTGTAGGGCCTTCAAAAAACCTAGTTTTCTGCCCATAGAAGAAATAAAATAAGAAAGCTAAGAGGAAAAGAATAATTCTGCTGCCCTTCAAAACATCACAAGATGGCGGACTGTGAGTGGTTGTTGAGTGATCATGGGAGCGAGGTGATGTAACCACGTGGTCGTAGATTCGATTTCAGTTAGAAGTTGACCCCCCGCGAACAAGAGCTCGGGCGCCAACATGGCCGACTTGCCTGATGGTGTCAGTGAACTAGAAGTTGAGGTAGAAACTATGGTTGAACCTCAACAAGAAGTGCAGATTGAGACCATGCCCATGATAGCCCTTCAACCACTAAGCGAGCCTGAGAGAGAAGAGATCGTCGTGCAAACTACAGAAGAAGTGATCGAAGAGTCAAAGTCGTTGATTCAACACGAAGTTGCTGTTTCAACAACACCGCCAGTCAAACAGCGCAAAAGTCGAGCAGGAAAAAACAAAGGACTTGGAAGATCGGGTAAAGGACTAGCTGGTTCAGGCTCGTCTGGTTCAGCAAATGCATCGAATTCTGATAAAGGGGGTGGTAATGGCGATGCTGAACGCACAGGTACGCGCAAATGGGAACAAAAGCAAGTTCAAATAAAGACGCTTGAAGGCGAATTTGCCGTGAGGATGTGGGCGTCGGGTACGTTTTCAATCAGTGGGCGCCCTCCCTTTTCAGTCTAGTTCGATTTCTTGACTTGCTGACTTCACTCAATACTAGGAAACTTATGTTTTGTTATGCTTTCATGTCTCTCTATGTCAACTATGGCGTCGTTTAGAAGAGAAAAGAGCCGAGCTAGAAGAGCTTGAGCGAAATTCAGACTTCAGCGAGTACATGACAGGCAAAAAGCTTCCATCTGGAGGTATTCCTGGCATCGATTTGAGTGATCCGAAGCAGTTAGCGGAGTTTGCAAGGTTAGTGATGTTTTGATCAACTTCGGCAGCCATTTTGAAATCCCATGACGAACAGCAGCCGTAGCTTTGTTCGCTTCCAAGATGGCGGCTTTTCAACATGGCCGCCCAACTTGCCTGTAATACTAGCTTCCGCTCTTCTTAATCTTACTTTCTACAACGTTTAAAAACTCTTCGATGAAATCTTTCGCTCATTCGTCTAAAGTCAATAAGTAAACTTAGCACTACTGTTTTGCTTTTAGCTTGGACCTTTGGTTTTTCCAATATTTTTTGGTTTGAGAACRAAAGAGAGCCTTCGAGTTAGAGGGTGAAGAGACAGGATTGTGTTCTATTGTTCTTTTCCCTCCTTTGGCGCCAGAAGAAAGCTTTGGAAATCTTCTTCGAAGCAATTCAAACCCTAAAATCGAAAGCCAATCGAAATCAAAATAGCTTATAAATTATTTTACAACAAAAAATCAGCTAATTATTGCTTACCTAAAACTTATCTTGGAAAATTTGGTTTTCTTAATTATTCCTATAAGCTTCAAAATAAAATTTGTTTGAAGATTATTAGTTAAAATAGTCCTTGAATTTTTCTTTGATAAAGGTTTTTWAAAAAAATGAATTTTACACTTTGAGTAATTTAAAATTCATTAAAAATCTCATCAGTTCCTTAGAAAGTAATCTTCAGCCTTTGAAGCTAATGCTTTTAAAGTCTAAATGAGTTTTAAACCAATGTCCGAATTTGACACTTGTGGTTTTTTTAGGATGAAACCTAAAAAGATCAAAGAAGAAGATGGAGGAGGAAGATCAATTGCTTGTCCACATAAGGTTGGTTGTTATGGCAATGGATTTTATGACATTGAGCTCTAARACAATTATCCTGTGTGAGCTTAAGCCATTTTCTTCATTAATTTCCCTATTATTGAGACACAGAAAGCACATCAATTTTTTTCTAACCTTTTTTCAGGGATGCACAAARATGTTTCGAGATAACTCAGCAATGCGAAAACATCTACATACACATGGCCCAAGAGTTCATGTTTGTGCAGAATGTGGAAAGGTTAGTGTTTGAAATATTTAAAACTACTTGCTACGAGACAATTAAAAAACCCAATACATTTGTTGCAACAGAGCGTCTGATATTTTACTCTTCCTTAGGCTTTCGTAGAAAGTTCAAAGTTAAAAAGACATCAACTTGTACATACTGGAGAAAAACCATTTCAGGTAAGCAGCATCTCACCTACTATATATTTAACTCCAAGTTCAGACTATCCCAAGGCTTCCAAGGCTTTATGATTGGAATCCCTTGGAATCTTATGCCTCAAACACTTCTTAAAGCCCCTGTAATTGGTTTTAAGGAATCAGACTGACTTTCAAAAATCAAGTCAAGCTCTTGGTGTGTTTTTCACATACACACCAGAAGCTTTGTCACTAATGTCTGTGTATTTGTTTGATACAGTGTACATTTGAAGGATGTGGTAAAAGATTCTCACTCGACTTCAACTTGCGGACTCATGTTCGTATACATACTGGAGATCGTCCCTATGTTTGTCCGTTCGACTCCTGTAACAAGCGATTTGCACAATCTACTAACCTTAAGTCACATATTCTTACCCATGCCAAAGGAGGAAAGTCTTGATTTAAAGGACATTGTTGCTTATATCTGTGGATTTTGCCATAATCTCATATCTTGAGTATGACTTTAGAAAATGAGATATAGACTAAGACAAGACCAGGATATTCAGTATTACCAAAGCATTGTCTAAGAGGGACAAGATCTTTTCTTAGACTAAAAGAGACAAAAAGTGTAAATAATTGTAGAAAAGGATGTCAGACCAAATGGTAAAAACTGAGTTGACAGTGGTCTCTTGCAGTTCCTGATGTGATGATATGGTTACTAGTTTCTCATTAGTAGAAACGTATTAGTCACATTTCCAGACTAACCTAAGTTACAATTGGCAAGGTGGAGCATCATTTTAGCCTATTTGTAACCATTATTTAAATTTTATGAAGCCTGTAACATTTCTGACCCCTTTGTCTARGTGTAATGAATTTAGCCTTGCTTCTAAGATGCATCAATAAAGGGTTAGTCTGTACAGTCAAAGATTTGTAATAATACATTTATTCCCTTGTCAAAATTTAAATTGTCAGGGAAATGGGTCTGCAAAGGAATTTTGTTAGGAGTCATGTGGTAGCAAAAGCATTACTGTACATTTTGTCTAGTTGAGATTATGAAATGCCATTTTTTTGCTTCCTCTTTCCATGAAGCATTCAGTAGTTACTGCTCCATGTGGATATTTATTGCATTATTGACTTCTATGACTTTGATTGACTGTTTTATTTGTTATTTGCAATGTACTCTGCTCCATCTTGCCATGTAATGTGCATGAGTTTACAGCTATTCTTTCATTCATGGTTCCAAGGACAAATACAGAAGGGTTTCACTGCTGTTTAGAAAAAAATTAAGCATGATACTTGCATGTATTTTGTTGTTTAAGTTTAATTGTTTAAGAAACTAAATATGTATTGTACTCTTTGTTACTCACTCGATTTGGGAACTTCCTGAATTTGTCCATGGTTACCATAGGCAAAGAGATCAAAAATCCACCTAAAAACCTTACACAAACATTCAAACATATCCTACAAGTAACTTATACTGAGATAGATATTTGGTCCAAGGTAGATATTTCTTTTTAAAAAGAAATAAAAGAAAGGTAGTCTTATTGGATGGCTCTTGATTCTAGCAAACACAATTTTATAAATTTCAAAAGCAAAGCCTGCTTAACATTGGGGTCTCTAGGTCACTTCCTGGACTTGTGAGATGGTGTGAGGGTGTAACTTTATTGAAGATTTTTTCTGGGTTCTCTGGTTTTACTCCCTCCAAGAAAAGATTTTTAAAAAATTCTAATTTGATCTGTGAGTTAGCTGTGCCCTGACTATGATCAACCAAGAAATTATAGATTTAAAGTTTGATTATTGAACAAGTAAGTTAACATTAATTTTCAAAGTTGTAATTAATAATGATTGGGGGGCCACGGAGAGGGGGGTGAGGCAGGAAAGGAGTCCCCCACTTTTTCCCTTTTCCAATAAGGGTCTCTTATATTTTCCAATCTTAGTCTCCCCCACTTTTTACGGTCCTCTGTGGCCCCTGTGATTGCTATGATGTTGCATTCATCCTTAGAACATGACTTGGAACTATGTAATTCAAAATTTGATCACGATCATGTATGTGGGTAAAGTCTCTATTTGGTTACCCTGCTGTGGTCTACCTCCAATAAGAAATAGCAATATTTTGACCTACAATCTTGAAGTTTAGTGAAGAAGAGCCGATGAAATCACATGCCCCCCTAAAAGTTTGCTTTCAGCACCAATATTTGATTAGTTCATGCAGGATTCCTGTGGATTTGGCTGGAAAATGGCACATTGCCCCCCTACGATCTAGACCTCACTATGCCACTGATAAAAGAATGGGATCATGGGGTCATACAATGTATAAACATACTTGTTGGATGAGACAGTCTTGTAAATGATGGCTCTGATGTATGGCTCATTCACGTGACATTTTCTACCTTGTCCTAGCTATATGCCATGATTTTTTCACTTTCTATTACTTTAGGTTATTTAAAAAAGAAATAGCAATGAAATGTCCTTAAGAAGACAGTAAATTTTTAGAATTTGAAATTCATGTCCGATTTTTGTAGGGATTTTCTTTGGGACGGGTATCAGGGAAATTGGGTTTTCTTTTGTTTGGGCTGGAGATATTGAATTATATTTGATTAATTCTATATTTGAGTGATAGGGATGGGTATTAGGGAAATTGGGTTTTCTTTGGGTCTGATATATAAAATTATATTAATTAAGGCATTTTACATTTAATTTAAGGACAAGCATCAAGGGAAATTGGTTTGGGTATTTTATAACAGGTTAATTATCTAGGCACACAAGCACATCAGTTTGTAACTGTAATTTCATCGCGTTAAAATAAATGCTATTATTATTATTATTATTATCATTATTATTATTATTATTATTATTATTATTATCGAGCTGTCCGATCGACAAATTTATTACCCCACCCAGTCCCCCCTAGATTAGTCCGCTGACCAGCACACAATGACATAACATTCATTCAAGATGGCTTCCACACTCGTGGCTGTCCATCGATTGATGAGCAGACGATTCTACAAAAATACATTAAATTTACTCTATCGACAAAATCGCCATATATTCACATATAGCAAGAATAGCTTGTTATCGTCTGGTAGATTCAGCCTCAAGAATCAAAAAGCCTTGTACTATGTCAAACCTAAGCAAAAAAAGGGTCCTTCAGCCAGGGGATGGATAATATTTGGGGCTGGCATGGCCTCTCTGACTACAGCAGCCGTTACATACCTGGGTAAGTTAAGTTTTAGAAAKAATTTGCTAACTTTGTGCGGTTTAACGTTGATTAATGATAATAATGATCACTGATATAATTGAAATTTGCCCTACCTTAGTAGCACCAATTAATTGGCTGTATTGCCTATTCTATCACCAAGGYTATAGGCTCAAATAATGCTCTGTATACTCATAGGTAGACCAAGCTGGCTATTAGTGTTGATTTATTATCAAAATACAGTAAAAAATAAGATTCAAAAATTCATGCAAGTAAAGGCCCTACCTTGCGTCTTATGTTTTGTTTTGTGTCTCTGTGAAGTTTCAACCCATTTGCATCAATATTGAGCAAGTATAGTTTAAAAGTATCCCAGGTACTTAGAATAAGGGAAGGTAGAACACTGAAGCCAGTTGAAACCCTCAAAATGTGAAATTCTTTCACAGAACCTTAGTCTGACACCTCATACATTCGCACTATTGACCTCCGTTCAGCTATTCAACACTATCCATTTTTAAAGCAACTTTTACCAGGACTATCTTCAATTCACACACGCCACCGCTATTTGTTTCACCAAGGTGTGTTGAACTGAGAGGGAGGGTATGGGGAGGCATTTGTAACGACAGTCAAAATCCGTTGCAAGGCTGCTGGTTGCAATAAAGGAGAATTAAGAGATAGCCTTGGTAAAAAGTTGCTTTAAAAATGGATAGCATTGRATAGCTGAACAACTACCTTCCCTTATTTTAAGTACGTGGGATGCTTCACTACGATACTCACTCAATATTGATGCAAATGGCTTGAAACTTCTCAAAGACCCAAAAGAAAACATAAGACACAAGGCAAGACCTTTATTTTTTACTGTATTTTGACAATAAATCAGCACTAATAGCCAGCTTGGGCTACCTGTGCTGTAATAGTCAAAATGAGCGAGCAAGATAAAAATTTGACTGGACAAATCCCAGTTCTGGGTGGATATTGTCTGATGTCTAGCCATTATTTCAAGCCCTGAAAGATCCAATCAATTCATTTCATCCAGCGAAGTATATTTCTTTCTGAATCAACTATTAATTTTTTACAATTTTTTCTTTTCTTTCTAGGTTTTCCTGATCCATCTTTAGAACAGGTAGGACTGTCTTTGTTCTTTATAATTTTTAAAAGTCCTAGTTTATGATATATGTACAGTAATCTAATTTTGTTTTTTATGATTTTTCACAGGATCCATATAAAAATGGTAAGTTTTGATTAATTACCCCTCATGGTTATTTTAGATCAGTAGTAAGTAGTATGTCCAGGTAACATGAGAGAAGAACAAGTAAACAGTATAAGCTTAATCTTTCATATGGTCTTTACTGTGCTATGCGCCATACCATGAACACTTCTACAAGTTTTTGATTTCTTTTTAACAACTTTTTGACAAGATTTAATTGTGCTCTTTACTGCTAACCAATTAGAAATCGATGCTTCACCTTGATGTTTCAATAGATGGAGTTTGTACATCGACRTAAGGGATAACTTTTAGAAGTGTTCACAGTACCGCATGTGGCCTAGTAATTATCAAGWATACAGTATCTTGGTCCCTCAAAAGCGTAACCCACAATTTCTTACTCTGTCAAAAAACACAAATAATTTCTTTTAATAGTAAAACTCATTGGAATCCTTTATATTACACATACTGAAAACCCATGTGCATACAAAATTGCTTTTGTTTTGTTTCAGTGCAGGTTTACTGTTTCTACCAAAAAAAAAAGTTCTCGTACCAAAAAATTGTACTAGCTAATTTATGAACAWGACATTGTATGATTCCATGAGTAATTATTACTGGTCTAATTATGTTCATTTTGATTTTCAGAATCATTGCCTTTACAATATATTTATAGGACAAGAGATAAGATTTGGGATTTTTATGAGGTAAAAACTAACAATCCTTAGTTAAAACTATTACAGAACAGTACAGTATCTTTCAATAAATATATTAACTTGGTCAACTATTATCGCGACCGAGTTGCATGCAAAATTTACCTGTGTAAACAGCCTGCGATTCTGGCGGCAATTCTCGCGTGATAATCGCAGCAAATTCGAACATGGTCAAAATTTTCACAGTGATTTTTCACAGAAAGTACCAAAATCTTCTCATTACACCCCACTTGAGCAGAATTTTGCACTGTTTTGTAAACATGGAGGTGAAAATATTCTTCCTATAGGTAATCTTACTTTTTAAAATGTGAAGTATCTTTTGTTTGAGACTTCCAGAACAAACAAAATTGCTCTCGTGCTTTGATTAGATGCTGGAGAAATTAATGAAATCAAAGAAATTGAAAATAAATGTTGTTATGCAACACTTGCTTGACAAAGTCGACTATATCGAGTTTAGACATAACTAAACCGCAGAAAATGATCACTAGTACACCAGGAACTAGAGATAATATCTACTCTTTCTTTAACTTCATCAAATACTACACCTTGTACTTTACTAAAACCACAACAGCACGCTCAAGTCTCAGTGAAATCGCGCGAGATTTGCACGCTGTTTACATTATATTCAACTCGGTTGCGGCAATAATCACGTGAGAATCGCACTGCAAAATTTGCTAGTGTAAATGGGCCTTTAGAGTAACAGTATGTTAAGTACWTGGAAACCTCTAACAGTTTATTTGTTTGACGGCAGTCTATTGCCCAATTYCTCTATTGAAACTGTTTTCTTGATCAGCGCATAGCAGTGAAATCAGCCTTATTAAACAGTAAACAAGTTTGAATACAAAAAGAAACAGGTTAAAAGAGTTAATGAAGTATGGACATGTTAAGTTCGTAGTAATGTATCTTAATGAATCTATCTGAAAAAATAGATGTTTGCAGAACCATCAAGTAAGCTACTTCTACCAGAACCTTTACAAGAGCCCTATATCCAACCTCCTTATACTCTGATACTAGAAATGACAGACACACTTGTTCACCCAGAGTATGATGTAAGTCTTTGTTATGGCATTATGATACAAGATGATGGTGGAAGGGTTTGATAGTGATGATTTTGATAATTTTGTTGTTGGTTGTGATGGAATTATTGATGATGATGGTGATGATGTTGGTGATGACGATGTTGATTTTGATAATGATTTTGATAACCTTGGCATTGATTGTGACAGCCGTGATAGAGTTGTTGTTGATGATAATGATGATGTCTAATGTTGATCAGGTGATGTGATGATGATGGCAATAATCGTGATGATGATGGCAATAATCGTGATGATGATGGCAATCGTGATGATAATGATGGCAATGATGGTGGTGGTTGTTTTGGTTTATTAATAATAACATGAAAGTATAGACCATTACATCTTGGCTTTTTCTCTTTACAGCGTAAAAGTGGATGGAGATTTCGCAAACGCCCTGGCATTGAATTCTTCCTCAACAGTTTAGGGCCACCCCTGTTTGAAAT